AAGGCCCAGAAACGTTGCTTTGGGGAGAGCTTGCCCCTTCTCACAGCTTCTCTTCCTCAGCTCAATTCTTGAGTGTGGGGGCGGCTAAGTGGGTCTGCCTTCAGGCCTCCAAGGAAGTCAGAAATCTACATTCGGCTTTGACTTCTGAGTATGTGGAGTGGGTTGGGGGGAGAGAGGGAGAGATCTGGCTCTCCTCAGCTTGAGGGAGCAGCTCGCTTCTTGCCTCTGTGCACAGAAGGAGGGCTACCCTGTGCCTGGGCTCCTCTCTGTTTGGGAGGATGAAGGGCTCCTCTGACTCCTTTGTCTTCCCTTTGGGATAAGAGCAGAGGCCTGCCCCAGCAACGTGGGTGCAGGAGTGGAGGACAGCTGGCCAGCTCAGATGAGTGGCTCCTTCCCTTCAGGGACTGGCTCTCCCTCTCCTTTGGTCTGGAGAGAGGGGGAGACCACAGATGCCCCTTTCCCTTCTCGCTCTCCCATGCCCATTCTCAGCTGCTGGCCTTTGCTCACTTTCTCTCCATCCCCTGGCCTGGACAAGAGGACACTTCACTCATACATGAATCATCCTGGATTCATAGCAGGCAACCCAGCAGCCAGGGGTGGCCGTGGGGTGGGGCGGGGGCTGGGCCAGTCATGGACTGGGTTCTACCTGGAACCCAGATGTGTTGATGCACCTGATGCCAAGTCACCAAGGAGGGGTAGCCTGTGCTGTGGAAGGCCCTGGGCCCCCTGGGGGGTGAATGAGGAAACTGCTGGCAGTGGAGAGGGCCTAAGGAATAACTGCACAGGCAAGAGCCTCTGGACTTTTTTAGAATCAGCTGGTGGAGCCACCTCCTTCTCTCCCACTGGCTGCCTCCCTGAGTCACTGCCCACCCACCAGCAAATAAAAAAGAGTGTCATCTGCTGGCCAGTGGCCCCATTTGGCCCCAGTGTTTGCATCTTTTTGCTCCTGGGTGGAAGGTGAGAGTCCGGGTAGGGTGGTCTCACTATGACAGTTCTTTCTGCGCCTTCCTCCTTTGGGACTCTGCTTCCTTCCCTGTCCTTTGTTCTTCCCCTCCCCCACAACCCATGATGGTTCTCGCTGGTGACAAGACCCAGCCCCTGCTCCAAGGACAGAGGCAGCTGCAAGCCCTCAGGAGCCCCCACATGGCCCCATCCATCTAGACAGATCTCTGATCCGGCTGCAGGGAGGGGACCCTCGGCTGTTCAGCTGCGACTCCTCCCTCCCCGCCCGCCCACTCAGCTGTCAACTCTCGCCTCCCCGCCCTGGCCTTCCCGGGCCCCTGCCTGACTGCTAAGTCCGAGGACATTGCGCCCGGAGACCCTCACTCAGACCCATGCAGGCGATGAGCAGGCGGCGGGCAGACACCCCGCCTGCCCTTGAGCATCCCCAGGCCTCCTTGCCTAAATAAGGGAGCCGCAGCTGGAGCGAGCCAGCTGGCCGCGGGGAGGGGCCTGCGGCTAGGCCAGGGCTT